AAGTAGCTCATGTAGGGGACTGTCTAGGGCGGGGAAAAAAATGGACACATATGTAATACCCTTTGTAATAAAAAATAAAATTTGAAAAAAAAAAAAATAAATAAATAAAAATGAGTGAAATATGTTTTCTTCTGCAACTCCAGTAATAAGTTGTTATTCTGAAGTTTCTTATACTTACAAAAAGGGGGCGCAAGGGAATACGACAATTAAAGCTGCCTCTTAATCACAGAAACCAAATTTTTCTTTTCTTCCCAATAAGTTAGTTTCCATCTTCCAACTCTGACTTGTTTTTTTAAAAGATATGATGCTAGAAATTCAGAATGATTTGGTAGTCTTTCCTTTGCAAGTACAGCAATCTGATGCAGGTAGGTACAGTTCGCAAAGACTATAGATCCACTTTCTGCTTTGATGATTTTTCTGCATTAATATTCTTAGTTTTACTATCCTCTCAACGTTATCTGTGGGACTACACTCAGAATGAGGATTTTCTGAAACTGGTGCCTGTCTTCCAGCATCTGCTCTGGCTCCATGTCAAACACTGCAAGTCACAGTTTCTGGATACCAATTCATGCTGGAGCCTTCCATTTCTTAGAGCTCTCTGTAAAATAAACCAAGAATCTCCTAGGAACATCATGTACCCTGAAAACTTCCTAAAGGGATTTTTAAAATCTTCTCACAGTACAAGTAAATGAGGGTTTCCTCTTCACTCACTATTGATAGTTCAACACAGTGTCTATGCAACACTTACCTATTACTCATTTGTTTCTCAATACTGTTTTCTTTTAACATCCGTGACACTCCACATTTTTTTTTTACTTGAAGGCTTAAGAATGTGATATACAATTACCTTTTTTATTCCAAAAGATACCTGTCATCAGGTTGGTAAAGAATGAAGCCAAGTTTGGATTTCTCATTTTCCTGAACTCTATGCTGGTGACCTCCACTATTTCCTTTGCTGTGTTTTGCTGTGTCATATTACCCAAATGACTTATAGAAAATTCTACCTGAAAATTCCACTTGTTCCTTTAAGTAAATAGTCACAATGTAGAATTCATTGTATTAGTGTCAAATAAATTTTATCCTATGTTTTCTATTTCAGTAGAAGCCATCACTATCAAATAAACATTCAAAATGAAAATCAAAGAGTCATCTTTATTTCCTTTTCTTCCTTTAACTCTTACTTCCCCTCTCACCAGTAAATAGTGTGGAACTTATCCCTGTGTCTCATGAAAGCATGTTTATCTCTCAACCTTCATAATATATGCCCATTTCCATAACTTTTTCATGCTTATGAAGAATACTACAGCAGTCTCCTTAGTGATTTTCATGGCTTCAGTTTTCAGTTGCTCCTATCATTATCCATATTGTTAAAAAGAAAAGATATTTTAAGATGTGCTTCAATCACGCCAGGTTTTTCAGCCTGATTTCCCAATATAATACCTAAAATACCTATAAATAACTCACAAGAGCCCTCTGGCATGGAAATAGAGTTGGCCATCCAATGATATTCAACATCATGTCTCTGTTACCAAGACTGTAAGCTTTAAAAGGAAATCAGGTGTCACATCATAAGGTACATAAAATCCATCAATGCTGTAGTCTTACCTTAGGTAATGGTTTGGCAGGTTTGCAGTGCAATCCTCCAACAAATTCAAAATTAGGTAGATATGGACGAGGAAATTCAAAATCCCAATATGTTCTAATTAACCAAATTTCAGCTTTCCCCAGAGTCTCACATAATGTAGTGGGTCTTCCTGGAAAAAAAAAGTTGGGTAAAAGGAAATAGACTATAAGTTAAATGGGAAAATTGCACCACCAACTTTTTGATTAATTCTCAAGGGAAAATTAAGTTTAGGTCTTCTAGAATGATATGGCTTTTAGATGTCAAATGAAAAGGAGAATTAATATAATCAAATAAAATAAAAAAGAAAGATAAAAATAAAGATGAAAGAAATTAAAAAGAAAGTTAAAAAAGGAGAATAGATTATTTGTAAGTTTCTTTTTACAAGATAAAAGAAACCAAACATTTAAACACAACTCCAAATTTCTAATTAATTTATTGCTAATTTTTTTCTCTCCAATTGAATGTCAGATGATAGATTAGCTCCACAAAATCTGCAGCAAATCACCCCACAATGGTTTCTAGTCTTCTAGTCAAGAATATGTCCATGACATCTCCAGCATGTTTTAATTTCAGGATTACACATATTGTTATAGTATCCCATCAATATCAGTCGACCTCATCCTTCTGTGTTATATCTCATCACTTCAATTCCGGGGGCAGTATTTTATTAGTAAGAACTCCATGAATAATTCATACTCATGATGACCCTCTTTTGGGATGTGTGGTTCACAAATACATACTACAGTTATCTCACAACTTTTTACTGCTGTCTTACTTTACTGCTGCCTCATTGATGTGTTTTGAAGGGTATTTAGAGTATTAATTTTAGGTTTTTATGCAGAAGAATAAATAATTGCAAATAACCAAGTCTTTAATTTCTGTTTATAAAAAATACATGTTTTATAACTGAGAGGAAGGGAGAAAAACAGGTGAGAATCCTTTTCACTTTAGGATTCTAATTAAAGTTGATGGTGACATAAACCCAGGGAGGAAATCTTCATTTTATAGTCATTACTTTTTAATATAAAGTCATTTAGTCCAAAGGCTATAATTTGATAATGAAGAAGTTTTGACCAAGGACACTCAGTTTGAAATTGCCAGAGATTAGATTAGAACTCCATCTCTTAGCTTCTGAATTAATGTGTTTTTGTCCTCTGGATGTCTACTTTTTTTGAGACTCAAATCCTGCCTTGATTACAAACCCTGATAGTTTTATTAGTCATTATCTTATTTAAATTAATCATTTTTCTGCCTAAGTGACTTAGTTTATATGACCTTAGCCTCATTTTAGAAAGACAACTTAGAGCAATTAGGAAAATTCTACATTTAAAGCAATGACTCACAATAATGGGTACAGAAGAGATAAATGGAAAGAGAATGAAAATGAATTTAATATAAAACAAACTGTAAATAATTTCATAAGTTGTATTTGAAATGTTACATAAGAGGAATTATGGACATAAAACTGAAATTAAATAGACAAACACCCAATTTCTTTTAGTTATATAATTTACATAAAATTAAATTATATAATCAAAATGTATAATTCTAAATATATATGTGTTATGTGGGTTAAGTTAATTAATGGATTAAATTTTAGCTACCAAGTAGATATTATTATCAAATGAATCTGTTAGTTTAAGTGAGTTAAGTGGGGTGGTTTTTTAATTTTAAAGACTTCTTGCCTGAAAACATTATTAGTACAATTTTTGTTTAATAGAAGAAGCTTTTTTTCCTCCTCCTTATATAATGCTTCTGTCCTTTTTCTCAAGTTGAGGCTTTTCAGAGGTCTTTACTCATAATCCTACCATGCCAAAATGTGGCCAGATATAATATAGTTTTCTGTTACCACTGATGGTCGATTTGAGAAAGATTCTTGTAATTTTTTCCTATATCTATAGAGCCTCGTAAGTAGTGTGCTCCCAGCATGCATAATGATTATAGAGTTAACTAATTATAGCAAATCATTACATTTGAGTTTAAATCATGGGTATATAAAAGGATTTAAAAGATACATTATTATTGATTTCAAAGACGAAGAGTGAGCAAGAGAGAAGAAACATCAGTGATAAGAGAGAATCATTGATTTGCTGCCCCCTGCATGCCCAACACTGGGGATCTTGCCTGCAACCCAGGTGTGTGCCGTGACCTGGAATCTAACCGTGACCTCCAGGTTCATAGATCGACCACACTAGCCAGGCTCAAAGATTTTCTTAAGTTGGTTTCTTGGAACATTAGTTGTGTAAAAACAATTTGATATTCAGTGAAGTAGATTAGATCATATATTTAGTGTGAGATATGATCTTTTGTTTGTTCTTGTTTGCGCTTCTCAAAGATAGTTGAAGAAGAAACCTTTCTGAGTTGATTGATTCAGCTCTCAGCTAAGTGTATGAAATTGCAAATAAAAGCATTTTAAGCAGAAAAGGCAAAGATTAAAAATAAGTTGATTAGGTGTATATCAACCTATTGAATAGTGGTTCTCTTTAACTGCTCAAGACACAAAGTCTTAGGATTTTCTAATTACTTTTTCAGATTTTTGTGCAGCATCCCCCCAAGAAATATAAAGTATCTTAGGAATCTTTTCAATGACCAGCCATGATGAATCTATCCAAATACTCAACATATATTAGCAAATAAGACTCAGCAACATATTAAAAAGATCATACACCATGACCAAGTGGGAATTATTCCAGGGATGCAAGGCTGTACAATATTCACAAATCAACAAACAAGGTGCAATACATGAACAAATTGAAATACAAAATGCACATGATTATATCAATAGATGCAGAAAAGTGTTTGAAGAAAATCTGACACCATTTTTGATAAAAACTCTCAGCAAAATGGGAATAGAGGAATCACACCTTGACATAATAAAGGCCATATATGACAAATGTACAGTCAACACCATACTCAGTTGGCAAAAACTAAAACCATTTCCCTTAAGAACAAGTATAACACAGGGATGTCTTCTTTACCTACTCTTCTTCAATATACCGTATTTGCCGGCGTATAAGACGATTTTTTGGCCCTGAAAAATATGCCTCCAAGTGGGGGGTCGTCTTATACGCCAGGTACACTTCAGATAGACTGCCCATAGTGCTTGCCCCGTGCCATAGTGGCCTCCCGATGCCCGCCCACTTCATTCCACATACCGTTCAGGCATCAGCAGCGCTGCTGGGTGTATGCTCGGCTGTTATGCGATTTTGCTGTTATGCGATTTTACCACACTCGCAAAATCGCACACAGCCGACCATACACCCAGTATGATAGCACAAAATCGCGAATCGCGATACCATACTGGGTGTATGGTTGGCTGTGTGCGATTTTGCGAGTGTGGTAAATTCGGGTTACCGTATATTTCTTTACATATGCATTGAAGATTCGTGATTTTGCGCTATCATGATGCCTCTTAGAATGTTGAAGAGCTCGCACTTGCGCACTAGTGAGGTCCCAGGGAGATGCTGATGCAAGGGTGGACCAGACTGCTATAGTGACAGGGCGGGCAAACAGGGAGCAGGGACCAATCAAATCAGGCTTTGTATACAGCCAACAGCCAACCACAATACTGCCCCATTGTACAGTACAGCATAGAAAACGTCGACCAGTCAAACCCCTATCATCCCTATCATGGCACCAAGATGTCGTTGATGAACTTTTAATATCAGATGATGAAGAGGAGTTTGAAGGCTTTTAAGGTGAAACTGTCTACGGCGAGTATATAACAAACTCTGTATTTTGAGTGGAAATGTTAGGGGGTCGTCTTATACGCCCAGTCGTCTTATACGCCGGCAAATACGGTATATTGATTTCATAAAAGAAGGAAGAGGGATTGAGAGAGAAAGAAACATAAATGATGAGAGAGAGTCCTTGATCTACTGCCTCTGGCACACCCCCTACTGTGGATGGAGCCTGCAACCTGGGCTTGTGCTCTGACTGGGTATGGAACTGTGAGCTCCTACTTTATAGGTTAATGCTCACCCAGTGAGCCACACTGGCCAGGCTCAATGGTATTTTTATACACCAATAATGATCTATCAGAAAGAGAAACTAAAAAAAAATTCCATTTAGCATTGCAAGAAAAAATTTCAGATACTTAGGAATAAACTTAACCAAAAAGGTAAAACATCTGTACTCAGGAAACTATAAGACATTGATAAAAGAGATAGAAGAAGATATAAACAAGTGGAAGAACATACCATGTTCATGGATTGGTACAATTAACATAATTAAAATGTCCATACAATCTAAAGCAATCTATAGATTCAATTCAATCCCTATTAAAATACCACTGACATATTTCACAGATCTAGAATGAATATTCCAAAAATTTGTATGAAATAAAAAAATGATGTCAAATAGCTGCAGTAATCTTGAGAAAGAATAACAAAGTTGGAAGGATCTCAATACCAGATATCAAGTTATATTACAAAGCTCATCACAACAGCCTGGTTCTGGCACAAGTACAGACATATAGATCAATGGAACAGAAAAAGAACCCCAAAATTGACCTAAGCCATTATGCTCAATGAATATTTGACAAAGGAAGCAAAAGCATACAATGGAGTCAAGACGGTCTCTTCAATAAATGGTGTTGGGAAAATTAGGTACATGCAGAACAGTAAAAACTAGACCACCAACTTATATCATACACAAGAGTAAGCTCAAAATAAATACAAGATTTTTATGTAATTCATGAAAGTGTAAAAATCCTAGAAGACAGCATAGGCAGCAAATTATCAGACATCTCACGTAACAATACATTTATGGATACATCTCCTAGGGCACGAAAAACAGAAAAAAAAATAAACAAATGAAACTACATCAAATTAAAAGCTTTTTCACAGCAAAAGGAACCAGTATAAAAATGTAAAGGGAGCCCATTGTATGGGAGCACATATTTGTCAGTGATATACAAGATGAGGGGTTAATTTCCAAAATGTATAAACTACTCATACAACTCAACAAAAACAAGACAAATAACCAATTAAAAAGTTGGGCAGAGGACATGAATAGATACTTTTTTAAAGAGGACACATAAATGGCCAAGATACATGAAAAAATGCTCAACATCATTAATCATCAGAGAAATAGAAATAAAAATGACAATGAAATATCATCTCATACCTACCACAATGCCTACCATCAATAAATCAACAAACAAGTGTAGAATTTCCTCAAAAAATTAAAAGTATAACTGTTATTTGATCTAGTGATCCCACTTCTAAGAATATATCCTAAGAATACCAAAACACCAATCAGAAAGAATATATGCACCACTATGTTCATAGCATTGTTATTTACAACTAGGGGCTCGGTACACAAAATTCGTGCACTGGGTGTGTGTGGGGGGTGGGAGTGTCCCTAAGCCCAGCCTGCCCCCTCTCACATACTGGGACCCCTCAGGCGTTGACCCCCATCACCCTCCAATCGCAGGCCTGGGCAGGGGACCCTCATTTCCCCCCATCACTGGTTCTGCCCCCAGCCCAGGCCTAATGCCTCTGGCCCAGGCATCAGGCCTGGGCAGGGGACCCACAGACCCCTCCAATTGCTGGCTCTGCCCTCGGCCCAGGCCTGATGCCTCGGCCAGAGGTGTAGACCCCCATCCCCCTCCGATCGCCTGA